TCTGATGCTTAATTAGCTTACTGACATAGAGTGTGGAAGGCACCTAGAAGGCTATCCAATAGATCACTTACATAAAGGGTGAACCAGTGATTGTTATTCCTGTAAATGCTGAACGTTAAGTGGGGACTAATAACTACCATTTTTACAGACTTTTGTATGCTTTACTTTGGAGAAAATACCCCATTGTCTTCTTCACTTGGGCAAATATTAAACACTAAGGACCAAATGGGAAACTGCTGAATATGATTTTATTTAAATGTTATGTGACAAAGAAGAACAAATGTTCCCCGTTTCTTTGATTTCATAATAAGATAAAATATTTGACACTAGAATCAGTCAAATTTCGGGAAATGCCTGAAACGATTTCATCTTCCCGAACATGCAATACAAGACGTTATATCTGCAGTCCTTTTTTATGCGGCTTATTACCATGGCATGTACAGACAGTATGAGAAAAGCTGTCTGTGGTCTCGTTATAAAGCTTACTGAGCAGCACAATGGAACAAATAAGGTTCCACGTCTTTTGTTACATGTTGGCTTTTTTATTTAGGACTGTTCTTTTTATCAAAATATTCTGAATCAGCGCGTTTACAGGGGTTTCATGTAAATATTTCCTTCGTTCAAATTTTGGTCTGGTTTTATTGATTTTTTGTTCTAATAATTGGTTTGTTGACATTTATATATTCTTTTGTAGTGATTTCTGAATAGCCTGATTTTCCTGTCAGGTTATCAGCTTCGTTAATTTTATTATAGCCGGACAATTGAATATCTGACAGCCACTGTCAGTTTGTATTTGTTTTTCCTTTCATCTATTCAAACGACTTTTATTTCAATTTGTTGTTTGTCAATTTTCAGCAGTATAACTTCTTGTTGATATAAACAGTGACTTCAGATCACAGATATAAGATATGCTTAACTATTCCCGGAAAAGATGAAAGTATCAACCAAGGGCAACAAAGCGTATGACGTAAGGGCACTCTGTTTGGTTTTGGACCAATGTTATTTTGGCGGTAATTCAATATCATGTGAAAGACTTGATCACAACAACATGAAACATTTCTCTATCAATTAGAGAACAGAGTGAAAATGAAGAAAAATACATGTACAGGATAGGATACGACACATGCATTTTCAGTGAAGCACACAATAAACGCTCGTGATCGCATCATTTGATAAACATTGATATTAAGGTAATTGTATCAAAACAATATGTCAAGCGCTAAGTTTATTACATGTGAACTGGGAAATAAACGAACGTTTGTGGTCTATACTACGTGTACCAAACATGGTAAGGGCACACTGGAGACCAATACAAACGAATAGATGGTAGTTTGATTGAATCAGTGTCGGTAGTGTTTCTATAAAGGCCTGATCTACAAGGATCAAATATATATTACCCCATTTTGTTACTAGGCTACTTAACTGTAACATATACTGGCGTGGCATGGAGGTTACATGTGACTGGCAGGCGACCGAACGGTACCTATCCTACATCGCGAGGACACGGTGTGTTTAATTTCCTCTCTCTGTCGTTATCACTTATTCCCAAGAGTAACCTTCAAGACACTAGTTCAAGGCGCCCAGCACTTTGAAAAAAGGTTGTGATTTAAAAAAATCTGTCTCCCAATTATCAAAGCAAACTCATAACCTGACCTGTAACATCATCAAACACCTCGCAAAATCACTTCTAGTTAGTTTGATGCAGATGGAATACTTATGAATACATTTCTGATACAGAGTAAGGGAGACATGCTCGCTCTGATTATTTTCTTGCCGATCACCCGTAAGTTCTGTACAAACTATTTCTTTAGGAGACGTCAAGTTAAGATCCCTTCTTATATCGACATTCTCATAGTTAATGTTTCTGTCATTAATATATATTTTACTATAATTTTCATTCTCAGCCGGTAGTAGATATGGCTTTTAAAGATTTAAAAAATCCTATCATTCCACACAATGAGAAGGAGCATGTGACTACGTGACCTTCCTTGTTGACGTTGCTGTTGTCTGTGTTTATAAGTTTGGGTTGTTGGGCATGTTGACAAAACGACTGAAGCTAGATGTTTAACAAGTATAAATGGGGATAATTAAAACTTACAAGCTACACATGCTTTTCAGTAGATTTTGATGTTCAGACAGTTAGTAAAATGGACCCATCATTATTTAATAAATATTTAAGAAATGCAGATTTAATCGACATAACTTCAAATCCTCTCCTATGATAGATAAAACAACTCAATTAAGTTCAACGACAATCTACAGTTGCATTATATAAGAATACACGATATTAGAAATATTGGGGATAAAATGATGCTAGTCTTCAGTAAACATTTTTGTTACAATGTTCTTAAAGCATAGTTTAATTTTGATAATTATTAAATATGTCCGTACATAAAGTAACTTTTTAACAATCTTCAAAGACAGAAAAAAGTAAATTTGTTTGAATAGGGATTGTAGCATGAAGCTTCGTTGTAACTGGAATTCTTTCAGATACATGGAGTACTAGCTTAAAAAACTTGTTCTGTAGCAGAAAAACAATATCAATTTGTATTTTCCCTTTCGCTTTATTTTTATGGAAAAAAACTTTCCACTGCGATTTTCATTCTTTCATTGGGTTTTCTTTAAACACTTACTAATAATAGAATACACCTACTACTAATAGAGGACCACAATGGAGGTTTTTACTAATGCATTGAATTACATAAGATGTTCATCGTCACAACAGTTACAGTCATTTGACGACCTATGGTGGGGCTACTCAGGGGTTACCCCGATATGTCATCGTCCTGATATTTCATAACCTGCACACCAAAGCATGACAAACTCCGGTAATACTTGTCTACTGACCAACCAGACGTTCCCTGTGAGACATAGCTGAAATAATGTGATAAAAGGTTAAAGGCGTTGCTGAGCGATACTTTGAAATGAATAGTTTGATTACCGACGTTTTGCTGTATGCAACTAAAGTACGGTATAACAAGATAACATCTGAATCTTAACAGCATAGTTAAAATCAGCGGCGTTTAACTTTGTACTAATAATAGAATACACCTACTACTAATAGAGGACCACAATGGAGGTTTTTACTAATGCATTGAATTACATAAGATGTTCATCGTCACAACAGTTACAGTCATTTGACGACCTATGGTGGGGCTACTCAGGGGTTATTTTGATATGTCATCGTCCTGATATTTCATAACCTGCACACCAAAGCATGACAAACCCCGGTAATACTTGTCTACTGACCAACCAGACGTTCCCTGTGAGACATAGGTGAAATAATGTGATAAAAGGTTAAAGGCGTTGCTGAGCGATACTTTGAAATGAATAGTTTGAATACCGACGTTTTGCTGTATGCAACTAAAGTACGGTATAACAAGATAACATCTGAATCTTAACAGCATAGTTAAAATCAGCGGCGTTTAACTTTGTACAGGAACCGAAACGAACGCACTAACGAGATTCCACTTAGCAAAACCAAAAGCTTGAATAAGTCAGATTTATATCTTTGCCTTAATTTGCAGTGAAAGTCGGCCGTCATTCTAAATATATTGCCCGGGATTTCAGACACAATTATAATATATATATAGATGTTCCTTTCCTGCATTACGCAGCTCGTGCATCAATTAGTAGCTGAAGGAACATTTATGTACATAAGGACTCACGGAGGTCACTAAAGTAGCACCCCTTAACCTAAAATCGAGAATGTTCATGTCGTCTGATCATTTAGATTGTACATTCGGAACTTTGGTGTGTTTTTTTTGTCAATCATAACGCCAATAACATATGACGTCATAGATTACATAAAGAAAAAACGCCCTTTTATGATTCAATAACATTTTCATCATTGACTTATAAAATGTTATACCGTTATACTGGTAGTCTGTCAGACAAGTGACTTATTTATATTGTATTCTGTAGGGGTTCATAACATTTCTAGTAATATTAAAGTGAGATTACAACAGGAAAGTATGTGAGGGACATTTGTTCGTTATTTAAGGCTGTTAATACATATTTAACCTCACCGGATGCTCATCAAAGGGAATGAACATTTAGCCTTTAGTTTCTTACTGCTCGCTACTACTGAATATATGGTTACAGTCCAAACTTTTTGTTTTTGTTTTTTTCGTAATCAGTATTGACTCAAAATTATGCCTAGCATGTGGTTGCTTGGTAGAAAGCGTCAACACATTTCTTGATACAGTAGTAAATTCAAATTGTGACTTTTACAATATTTATTATATAGATATATATATATGAATTTTCATTAATAAATTTAGTGTAGGAGTAATTGTGCAATTGTTATTGAGCATAAATGTTAACTATATAAATATATATACAATTCTTGATTGTCATGTCTGAATAATGGACGAGCCATTTCATCATCGTCCTTTGTATATAATATATATTTAGAATGTATGTTCATTACTTGTTTTTTTGGTGTTTTTTTTTTTTCATTCCGTTGTTTAATTATATATATTATGTTACAGTCCAATCCATATATTCACATGATTCCCGTTCAACTAAGTCTAATACGTATAGCTAAGGTCACCTACAGTCTACAGCAGTAAACTACGTTCATCCCCCACTACGGTCAACTGCGCGTGTGACCGTGAGATGTGACCGCGGCTTTAGCACAATCTACCAAAATCAGCTTTCCGTGAAAAGAACGGATCACAGTCATAATGTACGGTACATATTTTCTAGGAATCTTGCTAATTTTAGGTTCTTCTTCGACACAATACAAACGTTTGTATTAGAAGAGGCGAATATATGTCCAACGATTATGTTGTTGCATTACCCTTTGAAACATGGCAAAGGTACATTTAGTTTTTTTTAAACATCTTAACAAATAGATGAAAAATCATTTTCTTCAAAATGATCGCTTACCTATCATAATATGTAACCTTTCCTTGAATATGTATTGATACTGTATTATTTTTCAAAATGCAAAAGAAATCGAAACAAAAATATATAAAATATCATAATTTTCCTACCTTTTTGGATTTGCTACACGTAGTCCATGATGACACAGTTGAAACCAACACCAATAAACACAGTGTCCAAACACGCAGCAAAATCCAATCGAAACGAAAGTACGCCATATTTGAAATTATCACTGCAGTTTAGATAATATTTATTTGCTCAATAGCAAATACACAAATATATATTAAAACGCAGATAGTATGCCTGCTCATTTTGTCTGGATAACCTTCGCTATTCTTTTATTAAGATTGTTTTATCCAAGGGTTCGATATCATTGTTCCCTAGTCATATCAGTAGTCGGTTGCCGTATGCTTCATAGTTCTCACTATATAATCATATGTAGATTCGTCCCCTATGACGTCAGCGCCTCTGACGTGCTTAATTAGTATTCATGGAGATGTGACAAATGACTTTGTTACTATATCACACACAATCGGAAGAACCACTGGCTTCACGGGCGTATCAGTCCATATCTCCCTATAATTTCACAAATCAGTCTCCGAAGACACGAATTAGAAACTAAATTACGTTGTGGACGAGCCAATCAGTCCGTAACGACAAAGATTTAAATCATTGCTAAAAGTGGCCACTCTGTCACCATCGAATTATGTTACAATATGTGTTCTTGGATCGATTTTGTTTCTTTTTCTTTTTACACCATTACATATTTAAAACATCTACTAATCGCTAGCCGTTTGTATAACCGTGCTATCGACTCGATGGCAGCAATATACCAGTAAGTGTTGCTTGGTGTAACCTGTGAATCTTTTAAGACGATCACAGATGTCTGTCTAGATCCCACTTTGTCGACAGGTGTCTCACGCCGGATGATCAACAGTCTCTTTAACTGTCTGACATATCTAATCCAATCTCGGCCTGATCTACTGACAGTCAGATCAAGGAGATCTTACCTAAAGACAACAGAAAGAATATTGAAACATATCAATGTCTTCACCACTTCACATAGTCTGTTCTTGTCTAGCATCAGTATCCTTTATGAACAGTCTATTCACATTGTCTAATACACTACGTAAGACGTCTCATATAAGAGTACATTACTGCATACAGTGCACAATAATATAGTTGATTTAAAGTCTCGAATTGAATATATTCCTGAAATACATCCGTGCTTCTGCACATCAGACGATCAGCAAATATATATGCCAGCATGCAAGTTCAACTAAGCTGCAACAATATTTCTAGGTCGCGTCCCTATTTTCGATGGGTGTCCTTATTTAGAAGTCAACTAAACTTCAAGATAGTTATCTTTACCGACTGCAACACTTGAGCGTTTATAAGGCATTTACAATTCTGTCATATTAAGTATGACTAACCTTGTCAAATTACTGTTATGCAACAAAGGTCAGTGGAAGTTCAAACTCCTCACAACGCACACGACATACACGCACTTATAATCTCATTCATATTTTATCGTTCGCGATGATGACCTAGAAGGCAATACCGGTATGCATGCCTATTAAGAGTATTGTATAATTGTACTTCTGTAATTGTGTAATAGACATTATTACGAATTATCACGACAGCTACAATGTTATGCAAAACTAAAACGAGCACTGTGACGAAAAATAATTGCTATTTACAGTAATGACGTCTCTTGAAATGTACTGTAGCAGCTATACAATGTTTTTAAATGCAGGGCACCTTGCCATGAGAAAAGAATGAAAAGCGAACGAATAAACTATGATAATCATGGACAAGATAAAACAAGTAATAAATCATATAATTAATAAAACAGTCACCATATAACTGATTGAATGCATATCTGCTTACAGATAGCGTTAACTCACTATATCGATATGACTGTCGTCTGGGAGTATCGTAATGTTGGTATTAAACTAGTATGAAGTGTTCAATCAATACAGTTGATTTCACGTTTGATTTGTGTGTTCAAATTAGTCGTATCAGAATTCATTATACATTTTCATCCTCCCAATCCAAGATAATGATCGAAAACTAGCAAAACTCATCCGCCAGATCAACGATCCAACTGTCTACACACCTTGTCGGAGGCATGTGACCAATGCTCGTCAGTGGCTCCCCGTGGGGTAGCTCGAAAGCGGTGAAGTAATCATACAGAATTCCCTTGATATATATTAATTAAATACTTTACCTTGTAGTGTGTCTGGAACGGTAAGAGATCCAACACTTGTCAACAATATAATGACGGGTAATTTGCCTACCGAACTACCAGGTGTTACACCACCGGTGCCTGTATCGAATTCCGTATGTCGCACACTTATCGTTGTATTCCCGACAGGGTATCACCTTCCTTTAGTGGCGACCACTGTACGAGTCATTTAATGACTGTTTGTCCATATACAGGCGTAGTTCATTTTTCTTCAAGTTTTGTCTGGGCTGTTTTTGTATATATGTCAATGTACTTACTTACATATAACAAAGTCGAGAATGATGATTCATAGGGCTTTATAGTAAAATTGAAAGAAGGATACCGGTCATATATATATATAATACTTCACTGACGTTATGATCATACGACTGTGAGTGATGGTAAACCAGATTGTCTGTATTGGTGTCCTGAAATATATAATAAAAACTAATTTAGTATTGAAGCCAGTAACGAAAACGGCATGCTCATGTTTACCTAAACATCTTCATAAAAATGGAAAACTCCATATGATGCTAACTACTAAGACTTTGTTTAAACAGAAACATACATCTCTGACAGTCTGCTCAAACAGCTCCTCAGACGAGAAGTCAGAATTCGCTGTGTTCGGCACCTTTGTTATTAAAGGAATAATGCATATATTAATACCTTGAAGAAAAAAAACAAAAATCTTTTTGATAAGTGAGGATTCAATGCCCGACGTATGTATCTGTAAGTAATAATTACAATTTGTGTAGAAGAAACAATACTTGGTGACCATTGTAATTTTATTAATAGCCAGCGTAGCTTGATAAGATTTATTCGTTGGAAAATGTTATACATTTATAATTTTAAGCCTTCTTGACTGTAGACAGTTTACCGAGTGTATAATGTAATTTGATCTATAGCCTTCTCTATAGGATAAAGTTACTGGATATAGGTGCAGACGTATATAGTTATGATAGTTGGTAGCAACAAAATCCTATTTAGTCGATTTTTTTCATTATCGCATATCGCTACTCATTCAATTAGATATTCATCATTACGTTAATCTAACCTAACACACCTACTGACATGAGGAGATACTATTTTTTTACAAACCTCGTTGGGTGAGGTATCGAAACATCGCCAAATATATTTAAATATCGCTTATACAAAATTATGCAAAAACTGTCTATATTTGAATATAATATACGTTAACTGAATAGAAAAAGGGTTGATTTTGATTCATCAATGAGATAACATTCTATAATGCTGGAGTATATGCATAAAATAACAATATACTTAATAGACAGGCTGTATCAGGTACGACACTGAATCATGAATGACAGGAGCAAATCTCAATGATTAAGATAACTTACAGTAAAGTACAGAAGCCATTAACAATGATCTGTTTATATTTATCACAGTTACATAGCAAAACAGCAAATTTTGTCTCACCGTAGGAAACGACAGCGCGTGCTGGGACGAGAATCCATAAACACCTCCGCAGTTACCTATTGAGATTTGCACACTGAATACAGCCGAGCAGGTGTTTCGCTAGTCATAAGATGTTGTACAAATATCATCTAATAGCACCACCTTTTTAGAGAATAGCAACGCTTGGAGGTCACAGTAAGATTGTGCGCTATCGGTCAGACAACATAAGTACACCGCCGCCACACACACCAAGCTCGCGTGGAGTCACACCGCGCTGATATATAGCCATGTACAGGAATACTGCACTTTCTCTTGTAAAGCTGTATTGAATCTGTTTGGTATCTCAGATAGCAGCCAAATGTTGGATGTGGCTATTGTAACAGCGAATGCCAAAAGTTTTGCTGTTACTGTATATTTTGGTAAGGTTACGCTTATCCTTTTAATTTACCAGGTGGTGTCTGGAGAAACAAAACTACAAATTACAGGCCTTGATAAAACACATTGATAAAACAAAGCATACGTTACTTTTTTAAATATACTTGCGTTATGTCATACAAACGGTATGTGGTTTAGATATTGAAATAAATATATTTATGTGTAAGTCTTATTATTTAAAACATTTATTGGGAAGTGAAATAGGTTTGAAATTTCCTCCGTGGCTCCCAAATATCAATTAGTGTAAGAGTAATATAACGAAAAGCCGATTGTCTTCAAAATGTTATGCTGACTAACGATCATGACAATTATAAAAGTACATCCCTATTGAATCAGGTTTAAATGAAATGCATTTAATAAATACAAACAAACAAATAACAAAACCAAAAATAAAAATTAAAACAAATCGGCGGTTTTACTCACCGATTAAGCATTTTTGGTAGTAATTAGAAACCAACTGGATGTTTGTTACCTTCGTCAGATAAGTTCATTTAGAAGTGAACTGACTTTAAATCAGTACATCTATATTAGGCTTAGCTTAGATTACTGAAATAACACATAAACATGTTTAAGAGTTGGTGTCTAGGACGACACAGAAAACATATCAAATGATGCCCATCATTCATCCTAGGGTGCAAAATTACATTCTCATGAAAGCTTGTTATACGGTTCAGTACCTCCGGTCAATCAAACCTCACCCTGACTCAGATTTGATTTCGTGATATCGCAGATTTTAAAAGCCAAAATTTGCTCACGAAATAATAAGATAATTGTCTTAACCTTTGTGTATACGTCTAGATAGTGTATCAGGACGCACGAAGCATATTTGATAGAATTCTGTAAATGTCTGAGATAAGGAATGCTTGAAAGGTAACTTGTTATCTGCGTGGCACGTGCATACGACAAACCTTTATATTACATATAAACGGGCGATAGCAACATGGTCGACGGGGTTTTCTTGTGCTCCATGTGCAAAGCTTTATGTGTTTGCAGTACCGTTCTATGACACTGTGAGTATTCAAATTTGTATCTTCATGGGTTAACAATAAACGGCATGCATTATAAAACTGTTCATGTTCAATAAACAGTGTTGTTGATAAATACGATTTAAATCGTAAATAAACGATACGGCACAAGCTTCACATTTTCCAAACGTTTGAGTTTCCCTCCTATGAAGAGACATAGTCTTGCTGATTAAACAATTAACCGACAAATAACCCAATGCATGTACCTTGTAGCAGAAAACAGAAGGGTTTGTTTAGGTTTTCTTTTAATATTATGACATGTGATATAAACAAGTTGGGCAGCATAAACGGATGTGAACGTTCCCTAGACTCCAAGTGCTAGACGATATGATAAATACATTTGTAAAATCAAAGTCGGGTGCGAATTACATTGTTCACTAATCCAATTGAATGGCTAGGGTGGAGGCGTGGCTAGGGTGGGGGAAGTGGGGTAGGGTAGGGGTTACTGAAATCACTGAAATACCAAGCCGAACGTACCCAGCACAGCAATCCTCCCGGTTACATTATACCGACAACAGCTGAACAAGTTGTTGCAATTTCCCTTAATGCTGAACGTTAAACGGGGAATAACAACTGATATTTTAACGAATTTAATATCTTCGTATTGCCTTTTTTGTCTGGGTGGACGTTTAACATTAAACTTAAAAATGAGGGGCATGTATTGTTTATTTAAGGACATCGCAGCCTCCCAAAATACACACACATACACTACACGCATGCATCTTGCACACAGGGGAGGCCGTCCTTAAATGACCTTAGCTGTTAATAGGACATTAAACAAAATCAAACAAACAAACAAAATAATTTAAGGGTTTAGAAACCAAAGTTAGTAATAACTATCAATAAGTACAAATAAGTTTTTTTCTGGTCGTTTTGTTTCTCCAAGTAGAGGGTACAACTGCAAAACCCTATTCTACAGGTGGATTCCACATTAGTCGCCTCGATTATGCAGTGGGTAACAGCAGTTGTATTCTTGTCTGAATCCCTGACTTGTTGAGGCCATACACTATTTAAATCACGGCAAAACATTAAGTCCCATTAAGGTGTAATGATATGGGATAAATTTGATAACAACATGTTCAAAATTATGGATTTTGACATTTTGTTGTTATAGTGTAGTTTATTACTCTAAGTAATGGTTGCTGGAGGTCAAATCAAGATAAATCCAAAACTACCAAAGGGTCCTTACGTAAGATCACTTAAACCTCAAAAACTGATTTTAAAAGAATGGAAACAAATGAATCCAACGTCATCAACCACCTACAAAAACACGTAAGGAAAAGGACCATTAAGCTGAAATAAGTGTATGTGTTTCTGTAAGAGGACACTTTTAGCAATAAGTTCAACGATATTCGATATTACACTAACTCGTTGAAATCAACTCTGTACTATTTTATAAACTTGTTGTAGTCAGTTCTGCGATAATACACAAACCAGGTGTAGTCAGTTCTACAATAGAACACATTTTTTTTGTAAAGCAAATTTTAAACTACGCTGTATAACTAATGGGGCGTTAGGACCACTATTCAGGACATCCGGGTATCAAGGCAGGCTGTGTAAACGCTGTTGCTCATTAGTAAATAAAGAATTCCCACGACGTCATGGTTGGTTCGAAGATAGACTATGAGGTTACTCGCATGACTGTAGGTGTGTGATTGTGGAGAAGGGTTCGATCAAGTAGAAATGAGGTCTGTACATGTAGATGTACAAACACTTAGACACGAGGCTGCAGGCATTCCTTATTCAAAATGTAGATCTGAATATGCGCTGCTGGGGGAGAAAATGTTTGCAACCTGTTTCGATTACGATTAGGTTTGGTGACTTGTGAAGATCTTTTTTAGAGGGAATGTTGAAAAAGGATGAAAACTTTAAACAAAAATAACCACTCAACTGACATAGTATCAAGTAGGGTGGACAGTGAAAGACTACACCGGAAGAAGGTTGCGAACTTTGATGCTGGTCTGATACAATAATGGACCGATAATGGGCTTGCCCTGCAAGTGTCATCGTATCATGGTATCGCTGCGGGGTCGTGACACGTCGTCGTTTCAATGTTCTGTGTAATGTTTTGAAAAAGGGAAGATTTCATTCAAGTTATCGCCCTTGTATGTTTACGCGGATAGCACAGCAGGGGAATTTGGAAGGGCCGGGTCGGAAAAAGGGAGATGCGTGTGACTTTTTTACATCATATTCTCATTATGAAAACAATATCATAATCTTATTTTTTATAGAAAAAAAATCTTCTAGGGATTAAACATATACATAAACTGACTGCATTTGCTGAAGCTGTTTTTCGAAAAATGTAGTGCCCTTGTTTTTAACCGCAAAAATGTGTATAATTAGGTTTTTGCGTTATCTATACAAGATACCACTTATCAGATAGTGTGTCAATACATACCATTACCTATATAAACGTGTATGTTTATGTAACTGTAAACATGATAAAAACACTCGTCTTTAGTAAAACGTCTTTCAAATACAGGTATACCTGACATCTACTGTTGATTGTGCCATTCGGCTGAAACATACGAGTGTTGAGCGTCAGAGCTATCAGACGTGAGGTAACTGTGACTTATGGCATAGAGTTATCGCTACACAGAGATATAATGTACCATTTATGAATTCCTGAATAAATCGTATAACAATCGCGCCGCTGTACAAAGGTGTGTGTTACATTATACCAGGGGATAGAAATGAAGTTCAATGCATGTTTAGTGTACTAGACACAAGGTAACATTAAATAAAATAATTTGGAGATTGGTAATTAGTATTCTTTAAAGGGTTTCTTTAAAGATATTCAATGTTATTTTTATTTTCAACCTTTGTAGCTTAAGACCTACACGGTTTATACTCCATAATCCTTAATAGAACAGGATCTAATTGTTCAATATTGATTGATATCGATCTGCTATGTCGACGGTTTATTTTATGGGGTATTTTTTTTTTATGACGCTGTAGTATATTGCATCCTGATGTACTAACACTGCTGTACATATATATGTTGAGTGGTATATATTTTCTGATGTGTAGAACGTACGGTTAGTTTCACCGCAACGTTAGGATGCTGTAATATATCATCATATCTGCACTATCACAAGGAAGCAAAGTCAGCTTAATGGTACATGTACCAGCACAAACTACTCACATTTACTATTTGGAGTCGCGGTAGTCTAGTGGTAGGATGCCGGGCTCGTGACCGAAGGGTTACGGATTCGAGTCGCGGCACGGCACTGTGTTGTATCTTTGAGCAAGATACTTTACAGCGTTTGTTGAAGTCTTCTCAGCTGTAAATGAGTACGTGGTTGGGCAGCGCTAGAATTGACGATTGCTAGCTTAGCGCCGAAACGGCAGCTCCGGCTGTATGCTCCCCAGGGAGTTGAGAAAGATACTGGCTGGTTGCAAAGGCCTTATAACCACGGATAATAATTTGTGAACCGCTTTGAGACGACCTTCGAACTAGGTTCTGATAAAACGGTATATAAGAACCTCGAATTATTATTATTATTATTATTTGCCTCCATGCGATAACGCTGAGATCAAAGCTGATCAGATGCCGATTTTAAAGTGCTTCCTCACTGAATGAACATGCCAAAAGCACCAAGAACACTATTCCACCCGGTCAAGTTATTCTGAAAACAGATTAACCAATTGTTGCCATTATCTAGAATTCTGAATGTGTAGAAGGGGAACATATATACCATTTTTAAGGACGTTTGTACGCCTCGGCATGGGAATATAACCACTGTGTTACCGTATAGAAACATGTGAACATGAAGACCAACAATGCGTTGCTTTGCCAAAAAAGGTGCATTGAAATGAAATAAAATCATAAATATTGCTTAGATACAGAAGATTTAATACGAGCAGACGTTAGGACCGTGAAATATTCAAATATAGTA